AGCGAGGCAGCGTTGAGGGAAGCCGGCGCCCGTCCAGCAGGCAGGACAGAGGCGCTTCCCACCCCGCATTCAAGCTCAGATAACCCTTGGGGCTACCCCTCTGGCGGGGCCACTCTGCGCACAGCCCGGACTAGGACTAGGAAATGGAAAACCAAAACTCAGCCGCGTGACACGGAGCGTCAAGACTTGACCCCAATTTAAGAGACCGTGATTACTTCGCACAATCGCATCCTTCTTGGCAGGAGCTGCGCTGGGCCTCCTCCGGGGAGGCAGGCCGGGCCGGGACTCCACCTTGCACCAGGGGAGCGTGACGCTGCCACGGCCGCTCCTGGAACGAGCTGAAGAGCAACGGCCTCCGCAGCTGCTGGGCGGGTCTGGCCTGCCCGCCCTTGCGCCGGCACAAGGCACAGCTGTGTCTCCCCTCCCGCCCGGGGCTGCGCTCCTGGCCCCCGGGGAGCGCGGATCGGCCACGCCGCTGCACCTGCTGCGCGGGAGGAAGGCGTGGAGCAAGGCGGGCTCGGGAGGCATGCGTGGCAGCGAAAGGGCAGCCGGCGCTAGCCAGCACGGTGCCGTAGCCTGGCGTGCGTGTGGCCGGCCCGGGGCCGCTGCTCCGGTCCCTGTTCGGCAGGCCCCTGCAGAGTTCTGCCCCAGGCACTACCGCTCGTCCTGGAGCTCCTTCTTCAAGGCGCGGAGTCTCCCCCCCACCGTCTGCTGGCCGATTTCCAGGCCCTCCGGGTCCAGCTCTCTCACGAGCAGCAGGATCGCGCTGAGGACGTTGTTCTGTCAAGACAGGGCGGTCACGGTTTCTGCGGCGGCCGGACAGACGCTGAGCCGGGGGCGGCCAAGGGCTGCCTTGAGGAGATTGCGTTTGGCGCCCTTCTAAAATCTGGGCCCTTTCCCTGGGGTGCCTGGGGAGCAGCCCCCAGTAGCCCCGTGGCCAAGCACCGCAGCTGGCTGCAGGGCGGGTGTGGGGGGGCGCACAGAACAGACCAAGACAGGCCATGGGCTCGTTCAGACCTTCCCTCAATCACTGGGGTGATGCAGGGGGCCAAGCCCCACGCCCAGCTGCTCCCGGCCAGATGTGCAGCACAATCCCACGGAGCATCGCTGCCACCCGCTGGCCAGGAGGCTGGGCCGTTTCTCGGGGCGCTACTCCGCTGACCGCGCGGCGAGCGGCTGCGTATCCAGAGGGAGCTAGTGATTTCGTGGTGAAGGCGCGACCGTGTCGGATCCGCCGGCCTCCCCCGCCCCGGGCACGCTCCCCCGTGCCTAAGGCTGGCTCTCCGGAGCGAGACGGCCATTTAGCGCCGCACCAACAGCCTGCAAAACGCTCGTCCCAAAGGCCTGTGACCAGCCCGGCCGGAGAGGCCTCTGCAGGGACACACCAGCTTTGGGCCCACATCTGGAAGGCCGAAGCTGGGCCAGAGACAGGAATTCACGTTCGCCCCGGGGGACACTCACCCTCTTCATCCTGCTGCCATCCGTCTCCCGGGGGGAAAAGGAGGAAAATTCATCCCTTGGGCCAGGCGTCACGCCAAGCTGCTCTTGGACCTTGCTGGGGAGGAGGGAACAAGGCAACACATAAAATACGGGTGAGCCCAGGCCAGGAGCCTGCCCCCAGCACCGCCCGGAAAGGCAATCCGATTCCCAGGGCTGGAAACACAGGGGGCTGCTCACTGCGACCACAGCCCGGGGCCTAGAGCGTATCTGCGGCACGTTTCCAAAGGGAAAGCGGCCCACAGCGCACAACTGGCCACGAAGGCCCCTCCCCTTCCAGGCATGCGCGGCGGCGGCACTGCCCAGCAGGAGGCAGTCTCCGGAAGGAGCTATTCGGTACGCACGAAGCCAGGGAGCAGGGCAGAGCTCTGTTGTTTTCACAGGTGCTGCATGGATGTGAGCGGCTGTGCACGTGACCCAGGTATGGGTTGGCTGTCCGTGGTTTAGGATGGCTTTCTTCCTCCTCCCCCCCCCCACCATGATATGCAAATTGAGCAAAGGAATCCCAACGATTAATAACGGAGCTCTCACTTTGTCTCCCCCAGGCTGAAATTCAGCTGTTCCCTCTCTGGCTCCGTGGGGCCCTCCGTGGCGCACTCCGTGGCACTTGACTCCGTGGCTTCCGGGCAGCCCTGCTCCAGGCTGCGTTGAGCTGGGGGGGCAGCGATCTCCTCCCCGTCCACCAGGGCCTGAGACAACTCTTCCTCCGTCACAGCTGCCAAAGCCAAGCCGCCCCCGTTAGAAGCGGGGCTGTCAACCGCCCTGCGTGAGCGCCAGCGATTAGCGCACAACGGGAGGAACAGGTTCCTGCTTTGAACGCGCTATGGCTCCGCGCTGCGCCCGGTCACAGCTTTGCTGGGCTGCTCGTCTGATCCCAGGCTCCTAATGCGCTGCCGTGGGGCTTCCAAGGGGCAGCGCTGCATGGAGCCCGGGGTCAGTTGGGGACTCCAGATGACTCCAGGCTCCATGCAGCGCTGCCCCGTTGAAACGCCGGGGCGGCAATTAATTAATTTTTTTAATCTCTTAACAGCCCTAGTTAGAAGCCTAGGCTGATGCTCCAGGGAATTGAGCAGCATGGCAGACGACCCTCATTCTGCTTGGGAACGTGCTTGCCACACGCGTGACACCGGGACGGCGTGGCCAGTCCGTGTGCCCGAGAGCAGGGAGGGCTACCCATAACCAGGCCTGCACAGCTCGGAAAGCGGCGAGGGCCCTATTACTCCAAGGAAAACAGCTGCGGGCTGCAAGTGGGGACGCTCTCCCAAAAAATACCGACCACGCGGGCTAAAAACTTTTGTCGAGCGTGTCTCCGCTTGGCCCCCTGGCCTTCGTCTCTCCTGCACCCTGCCCCTTGGTGCCTTCCCCTTTCTCCTGGCCTGCCCCCTTCCCCTCACACAAGCCCCTTCCCCTCCCCTACCTGGCTTCTGCCTTCCAGGTTGCGGGGCTGCCGGAGCCTTTTAGAACCTGGTGGTCGCCGGCTGTGAGGTCACGACGCCACAGTGTGCTGCCCCGACTTCTCGTGCCGGAGCTTCATGCAGGCAGCCTGGCAGCAAGAATCGCCGCACTTCCCCCTCCCCAGCGGCGCTCCGCTCCTCCGCCAGGCCGGGACCGGATCGGGCTGCGCTGCCCCTAGTGCGGGCTTCGGCCCGGCC